GTGAATAATTAAAGTATATAATGATCATCAGGAAAATTGTGTAAAAGTGTATTTAAAATATATAACGTTAATCAAAGAAAGCCAAACATATTAATGTTTACCATTAAGTAACTAAATAAATACAAAAAAAATTTCTTAAAAGTCTGAAAGAGAATATGGCTGTATTACAGGACAGGGATTTAGTATGATTCATTATTAATCTTTTATACTGCCTTAATGTTCTATAATGCTAAAAAAGATTAATTACATAGTCCTGCCTTGTCTTGGAAACATAGAAATAAACAGAAGCACTACAATTTGTTTTTTTGGGCCTGTAGTCTTTAATTTAACAACTCCTTTGGATATAAATGGAGTCTACCAGTTTTCTGATCTCTAATGGAAATTAGTCTATGAATATGAACAATTAACCGTCAACCATCCAGTTGTGGAAATAACGGGGCACCTTTGTTCCGTAATCAGAAAGTACTACCTTTAGAAAATCTACTTGATAGTTTTCATGCAATACTCTCTTGGTGCCTTCTCAGTGTTCTTTTTCAATCTGTATACATTTGGTATGTTATCAGATCAATTTTGGATTAAAATAATTAAAAGGTGCTTACTCAGTAAAATCAGCTTTTGTCTCCTGTGTCTAAATATCAGTTTCCTTAAAAATTACAGAATATATGTCCCTTTGATAATTTGCATTGTGTTTGTTCCGTAACAATATGATTAACTGAACCTGAGTCAGGGTATATACAATATACTTTTATATCTCAGATTTTATTAAACTCAGTAAAATCTTTTTGATATAATTATGCAAAGAACTAAGAAATAAACAAAACCGTGAAAATATTAAGACTACGTAATTGAACAAATGTTGAATTAGAACACATTTCACTTAATTTAGCCTATAAAATTATGTCCATTTTGTCAATTATACGTGATCATTGACTTTCCAGATATTCCCGTAGATTTCCTGATGTTTTTATCCCACTTATAATGTCTACATTCTAAAAGCCTCCTTTTTCCTAGAAAGACGCTTAAATAGCTGGAGAGGAACCTCTTGGGGAGGATTGGGAGTGTCTTTTACAGTGATACAGGGTTTCTGATCTGAAGTACTCTCTCGGAATACATTGAAAAAATTTCAAATGCTGGCAGCATCTCTAGATGAACTGGGACTGGCCTCTTATTTCTTCCTACCAAAAGATATTATTAGTTATTAAGAACATGAGGTTTGAGATAAGACAATCCTGCAATGGAAATTAAGCTCTGCCACATACTTCTAGGCCTGGGTAAGTTGCTTAACTTTAGTTTCACTGAAGGGATTAATTATAAGCCTCAGCTCATATTCTTGTTGTAAATGTGGAATGATCCAATCATGTAAGCAGTAAAGCATGGTAAACTGTATGGCTTGGGTTCAAATTCTGACGCTGCTAACTCTGACTTAGAGAATGACCTTGGGGATGATTCTGAACTATTCTGTGCCTCCATTTCCTCATTTATAAAATGAGAGAAATAATTGTACTTATACCTCATTTAATTACTTGAGAATAAAATGAGATAATAAGTGTAAAGTTTGCCTATAATTGTTAGCATTATATCTGGCTCCTGGTAAGCACCCATAAATATTGGCTATTGTTAGCTAGTTTCCTGGGTACAGTTAGGGACAGCTCAGTTCAATCATCTATACCAAAAAGGGCTGAAGTCAAAGAGCTTCTTCCCTAGAATCAGATCTCACCTTCAGAATTACTTGTCCACTATTGCCTGTGTCGATGACTCCCTCTGACCTCCTCATCGTTGAGCCTACCTAGTTCCTTCTGGATTTTAACTAATATCCATGAACTTGACCTCTTGCCTGGAAAGTCAATGATTTATTTACCTACTGATATTTACAGTCTTCACCATTTTTTGTTATTTAATCTGTCTCACATCTCTCTTGGTTAAGAAGCGTCTCAATAAATATTACGAAAATATTTTATGTTTTGTAGCGCTTCACAGTATTTACCAAGTACTTCTCTATTCATGAGGTGAGACCATTAGGGCAGTTTTTTTTTTTTTTTTTTTTTTTTTTTAAGATTCAGGTTTACAATAAAAGCTTTATTACTGCTTGATGAATAAGCTCATGAAAGTATATGTTTATACAAACTCCTAATAGTAATTATTAAAATGTAAAATTATAAGGAAACACAACCTGATAAAGAACATTTTTGAGGCTATCTGTGAAGGTTAAGAGAACATTTTTATTGCATTACAATTTTATAAATTACCATATATAGGTTAAATTAAATTAAATGACAAACTCAGAGGAGACAGAGATGAATTTTGGATCCACGTCTTCTAACGTGGGCTCATTATTCTGTAATGCTCAGGTTTGGCCTGGGTCTTTGGATATCTCTATTCTGATGGGACAAGCATAGGGCCCAAGAAAATCTATCTGTGTAACTGATTCCTGAATTTGTGTGTGTATAGAGTTGCTCAAGATTCTAGCTGTGCCTGGGAATTTGAATTAAGCTTCATGAGAAGAAAAACATAAAGAAAAAAAATCATTATTGATATGAAGAAAACACATAACTCATTTATATAACACTTTGCAGTTTATAAATCATTTTCTCAACCATTATCACAATGGAATGTGTTTCTTTACATAGTTATTAAAGTCACTTTATGTAGGAGTCAAAACATTTCAAAACATTGGAAGGCGGCTAGTTAGTATGATTGCCATGTAATGTGGTGAAAAGACATTTATTAATGTACACTTCATGCCATTATTAGTTCTGTTCACAGACGGGAGAAAGTAGAAACTACTTGGAATCAGAGCCTTAGATTGGAGCAAATGAAACTGGAAAAATCGTTTTAGGAACCCACTCACATAATCCTTTTCTCATATATTTGATGTTTGGGATGTGAGCGGTCAAGCATGAACTGGCAGGGAGAGGGAAGAATACGGAAAGAGGGTAGGAGGGAAGCAAAAAGTTACACTGATAGAGTATTTGGTTCACTTTCTGAAGATGGTTATTGAGAAGAAGAAAAAACAGGTTCATTGCCCTTTTCCCCTTCTTGACTCTGCAGTTTCTTGCAATTCATAAGAGCATGCCGCCAATGATTCTTTTTTGTGACCCCAATTCTTGATCTTCGACTGTCACTGTAGCTATCACAGCCCTTGCCCCAAAGAGTGTCAGCATTATGCTGGGCAATGATAGAAACTGTATTAACTCTTTTCTCATAGGATCAATATGGACAGAATCTTAAATGTCGTCTCCCCCTATCACACACACTGTCTTCCCTCCTATCTTTTCTCCTTCCCCTTTCTTCTTTCTTGATCTCTGCCCCACCTTTACTCTTTTCCTGTATTGTATGATCTAAACTAAGGGTAACTTTAAGTTGGAGTGCCTGACCTTAAGTATAATTTGTTCATCATTGAGTTTAACACATCCTTCTTACTCATGTGCAATGGTTTTAATAATTCACATGTATTACTGCATTAATCCTCATTTTCAAACACATAAGTTATGGAACTATTACTTTTTATTTATTAACATTTTATCTTTATTAATGTTTTGCTTTTGTTACTATTTTATTTGAGTTGTGTGATGCATTTAGTGAATTGTCCAAGATCACCAAGCTAGTAATTGATAACAACTAGAAGTACTAGAGTTAAGACCATGGCTATTAAGAAACATCCAATAAGACAAAGGCTTCCCTTTACTAAGCTAAGCAAGAACAAAGAGGCCATCTCTGTGTCAGTGGAAAACTGGACTATAAAATACTGATAACCCATTTTTGGCTGTTGTAGCCCGTTCTAATGGCAGAGCTACCTAGCTAACACCCAGAGATAGGAATTGTGTTGTTTCTGGTGAAAAAGCTAACTCTGAGCTAGAGGTTAGCAAGAGTTTTGTAGTTCAAGTGAGCATAAGCAGAAGTTATTATCAGTGATTTTAGCACATTTTGGGTTGCATAAAAAGACTAGCTTTGATGCAATAAAAAATCAAATTCAACGTGTTAAACTCATTTTTAAGAAATGTAATTAGTAATATATTTTAAAATTATTTTAAACAGCAAGAATGGAGCATGCTTATTATAAAAACATTGAACATTATCAAATTTATAACATAGTGAGAGTCTTCTCTTTTTCTCTCATCCAATTTCACTCCACAGAGGTAACTATGGTTATTAATTTGGTGAATATCTTTCTAGATATTTTTTGTGCATAAATAAGCATACACACATATATGAGACCATATTAAACTTGCTAATATTCAAACTTGCTTTTTCATTTAACATATTATGAGTATTTTTTCATATATACAAATACATATTTACCTCATTCACTTTAATTATTACATTCTTCCCATTGTATAATACACTGTAATTCATTTAATCAATATACTATTGCTGAATATTTAGTAGACCTAGCTCTTGTTGCTATCACAAAAAATATTCCAATGAACATCCTTGTACAACAAATTATTTTCTTGTGCATTTATCTGTGGATCAATTCTGATAAGTGGAAATTCTAGTATTAGGGTAATCACTAATATTTTAAATGTGTCTATTGATCTTTGGATGACACTTTGAAGTTTAATCTGTGAAGACACAATGCACTCAAAAATGATATTTTTATAATAAAAGTAATTCTTTACCATTGCAGACCAGACGTTCACCAAAAATGTTTTGCTTCTGTTGCTTCCTGGAGGTACAAAGTCCCATATACCCAAGAATTTTGATTATTCTCTCTGTGATACTGACAGTAAAACAGTGTGTCAAACCAGGCCATGTATATTTTAAAGTTTCAATATGTGCAACTATCCAAGAAGGCAAGTGACCACTAACTGGTAGCTGGAGTCTCTCCTTCTCACTGGACAAGGTCCCAGAGTCTGCGATCTTTGCTTCTTTGTGAACCAGTTGAAAACCATAGTATCCATTAATCTTTTTCACAGCCTTTTTACTATGAACAGTGGAATTTTTCTCATAAGAAGTCAATTCCCATTGAAATTGTTCCTTCTTTTCCTCTTTCAGGGCTGGGCGGGGACTTTATGGGATCGACAGTATGCCAGATCTCCGCAGGAAGAAGACTTTGCCTATTGTACGAGATGTGGTAAGTCACTCCTGTTTAATTCTCTTTGATTGCATATATTGTCTTTTTCTTTATTAGATGTCAAATCGTCCTCTAATTAAATGCCTAGCCTGTAAATATTTCATAGAATAATACATACAAGAAGCTAGATTCTAACAAGTATTATATTTATTATTTCTTTAGAATCTATTAGATGGGGGAAATAACTCTAACCTTTTGACAACTTTTGATATTAGTTGAAATTACAAACTGAATTAAAATGACCCTAAATTGAGTGAAAAGAAGTCACACAGCGTGACAAGTGGGCTGCTGCAACTGGGCTTTGATGTATTCAGTGTTATGAATGGCCACGAGTTTAATTTGCAGTTAAAGGCTTGATTTGAACTTCTTTGCCTTAACCCAGCAGACTTTAATACTTTATAACACAAGCAGATAATATTAATCAATTCTTTATTCTATTATATTAAGATCAAGTCTATCCAAATTAATAAGCTATTCCACTATTTAAAGAAAACCATGGCTGCCAAGTCATTAAAACCTTTATGAGCCATGGACATAACTCTTAATAACCCATACTCTCCTATAATGAAATATGCTAGGGACCACTTAGAGATGCGAAGAATTGAAAATGATCTGTATTAGATTATAAAAACAAATAGCATTAAAAAAGTGTTTTCTATCATCCACAATGTCTTCACATTTTTCTGGAAGCATATTCTGAATAGTTTATGACATGAAAACATATTTTTCCCCAGAGAAAACAAAATTTCCCTTTTAGAAGCAATGTGCACAATTTCTTTATATCAGTAATTTTTAATTTTGCTGTGAAAACCTTGATCTGAAGGCCATCCCTTTAGTTTTAAATTAGGAAAGATAGAATCTTGACTGGAAAGATCTTATACTGGAAAACATGACATGTCTTTATGATTAGCTCAAATTCCTGCCATTATAATGTGGACATTATTTTAAAGTGTTAGGCTTATTTGATATCATTATACTCTTTGCTCACCTTTCTTATGTCTAATCATTTACGCTTTGTTTCCTCTGACATTTGGAATCTTCAGGCCATGGTAAGTGATTTTCAATTTATTTAATTAATATTTGCTAATCTCAAATGTACACTGCTCTTATTCATGGGATTAAAAAGGGGAAGATGGGGAAATAAAAAGGCAGAAACAGACAAGAATAAGAAGTTTGGGTTCTCCAAGAATTTAACATCTGGTTCAGTTCTGAAAGACAGACCAACTTATGTAAACAACAGGTGCAAACACAGACTAAAACATAACTTTATGGACACTAGTTGTCAGAGATGGAAGATCATCTTGGGTAAGCCTTTGGAGGTAAGCCCTCTATAGGTTTACAGGGTAAGGGTGGAGATGAGTGGAGAGTGGCTTCCCCACTTAGGACTATGCTGAACTTTATTTAGGTACATGGCTTTGTAGCTCCAAGGAGATATATTTAGCATTATTCCACTATGACTTCCCTTTCTCCTAATGGGAGAGCAGGTTTAATTTTCCCATGTAGAACTTCTGATTCCAAAGTTCTCTACAGCACTGTCAAGCTTATTATATTGTATATGTTTCAGGTAGGAACGGTATAATGGTTCTATTTTATAGGGGAAACTAAAGGGACTTGACTCTTATTTAAAATCACCTAAGTTACCAACACTGAATGAAGAAAACAAATCTGGATATAATGATTCTCGATTGATAAAATGGACACTTGGAAGAAAATGTCCTGGAAGAATGTTCCAGAGAACTAAGAGCAACTCAGGAACCATCTAGCACCAATTGTGATTCCAAGCCATCACACAGATTAGGTGGCTCTGTATCAATGGTCACGTTTTAGGAAAGAAAGTGATCACGACCACCTTGGGGAAAAACAATGTTCTAGAACTCTCTTGCTAGCCTGGAAACCTTGGGCTAGTCATCTGCCTTGTCTGGCCTCAGTTTTCTCATCTGTAAAATGTAGAGGTTGAATCTGATGATCTAAGGGGCCTTTTTCAGCTTTAATGTTCTATGATTCCACATTCTGGTTGAGCTGGCTGACTACTGAAAATGGCAGGTCCCTATTGACTAAAACATGAACATTGATATTCTTACATTTTCACATTCTGCTGAACAATATGTACATAGCAGCCACCTCATGTACTGATAACTCATAATTCTGTTTGTTTTAGACTCTGGCTGCCCGGAAATCTGGACTCTCCCTGGCTATGGTGATTAGGACATCACTAAATAATGAGGAACTGGTAGGTGCAAAGTCAATTATTAACTATGTATTGATCATAGTCCAGGGGAAAAGCATTTTTCTTGGGCCATTCATTTGTAATGTTCATTCCAATGTTCTAGGAATAACTGGGAGAATGCAGAGAGTCTGGCTTTAGACAAATGTCCTCAGGGCCTCAGCTTCACTATCACACAAATGATCGTCTGCTGCTCAACTATTCATGCACCTTCTCGTCTTTACAAATGCTATTCCATCCTAACACAGTTGACCTCTTATTCTCCCCCTCAAAAAGTCCTGCTAAATTTTTACATAGTTAAGTTTTGCCTCTTTTATGAGGTTTTCCCAAACACCCTCCTCCTCCTCTTTTGGCTGAATTAGTAGTTTCCTCCTCCGGGCTTTTCTAGCATTTAGTCATGACCTCCATAGTGTAGTATGGGTGAAGAGTACAGGCTGCCTGGCGTGAGGCCCATCTGTACTACTAAATTAGCACTGTTATACCTGGCAAGTTATGTAGCTTCTCGAGCCTGAGTCCTCTCATCTCTATAGTGAGGTAATAATAAGATATAGGATTAAGGGAGTGAATACATGTTTAACACTCAGCATAGCCTAGGGTAAACAATAAATATGAGCTGCTGTTTTTATTATTTTTATATTACCATTAATTTGATTATTTTGCATAAGCCTTTTTTTTTTTAGACTCTGTTGTCCTTGAGGGTAGCACTATACTTCGTTGTTCTTGTTAAATATTTCATCCCTCTTGCTTAGTACATGGTCTGGCCTGAGGTAGATGGTTTATAAATTCTTGTTGAATGAAAGAACCAACATGATTAGAAGATCCAAGTAGGCTGCAAATATCTAGGTCAGTATTCTTAAATTTGGCTCATTAGAATCACCTGGGGAAGCTTTAGAACATATCGAGGCCTGGGTCTCACTCCCTGTGATTCTGATTTAATTGGCTTCAGGTGTAGCCTTGGTATAAGGGGTTTAAAAAAACTGCTGGGCGATTCTAATGTGCCGTGGATGTTATGCCATGGTAACTGCAGTCTGCACAGCCACTCTCCTGGGGCTTTTACTGGAGACAATTTGTCTGTGCCCTCCCTTACGGGAACTAATATACTCTACCTTTCTCAATTTTAGTGACATTGTCATTCTTACATAAAGAAATTTTGCCAATAATATTACCTTACTTGTTATAAATTTCTATACATTTGACATTGGACATCATTATTTGTGTTTATATTTCTCCTTGTTTTCTTCCTGTCATTGTGGTCTTCCACCCAAAAGCCAACCTTTCCTAGGTCTCTATCAGCAAACGTTCCCCATCCCAACAGAGGTCACAAAAACAATACGTGTCCATTTGAATATCTTGGTCTACAGCAAGTTAAAACATTTTCTATTGTGCCACAGGACTAAAAAAATGTGGCTGGTTTCCCAATGTCATATTTTTATCTATTAGATTTATGATGCCATGTAATATCTTGGGTATAGTTTAGATATAGGAGAAAGTAAATATCCTCTGATATATGAGAAAGCCCCATATTGCTTGCTGAATCGAAGTATCTAGTCTTTTGCTTTTGAGGAAATAATCAAGCCAAGTGTTTTTATTGATAAACTCCTACACTATTCCTTTCTTATATTTTAAAATATCCTATTTGGTTTGAACCACAAATATTCATTCTTATGAAAAATTAACAGGAAAGCAATAAAAATTACAAGAATGCTACTACATTTTCTGAGGCCCTGAACAGGGAGCATACCCTAACTTTATGGTTAAATTAGCTCCTGATCTTCTTTCCATCAACTTAAAAAATATCATTTTACTTTAGTTTCAGAAGGCCTATGTAAAAGACTTTTTTGTGTGGTTGTTGGATGGATGAATAGAGTCCATCAGCTCCTTCTAAAATTCATAAAGCTCATTTCCCTTGGGCCCATGTCTCAAAAAATAAATGAAATATGACTTCTGTACAACAGGCACATTAAATATCACTTTTGACAAGCTGTCACATTAAGTTGTTACATGGGCAACTAACATAAATGTTGAAGCGAATAATTTCTACTTCCTGGTGCTGAAAGTCTTCCTAGGCACCCTCAATGTGAAAGCATGAAATATTTGCCTTTATATGAAGAAAAATGGCTTGACCATGTGGAAAATGTTGAGTGGTAGCACTTCTATTTTAATTAAAGAGACTTATGATGGTAAAAACTCAGTTATCTCTTCCAAAGAAGGAAAGGGCTCTAAATTATGAAGCAAGGTGCCAGCAGACAGCAGCACAGCCTCCACTAACACCCTGTTGGCAGTGGGTGAAGCACTGCCAGGTGCCCCATCCATCACCAATTCCAGCTCACTCACAAGGAGCTACTAGGGGTGATGGGGAATCTCAGTCTAATAAGTCCTTAAGGACTTCAGTTTCTGAACACTTCCATCTGGTTTAATAACACAAGAAGGAATAGCAATCTAGTCTCTATGTGCTACAGCAATGGTCTGCCTGGGACTATACGGCCCAGCTCTGTATTTGCTTTCACAGAGTGATAGTTTCCTAGGTATGGACCCAACAGTGGGTCAATCAAAGTAGACCCATTCAAGAATTCTACAAATGTTAATTGACTATCTACTATGTGTCAGTCATTGTTTCAGATTCTGCAAATAAGGCAGTGAACAACTCAGCTAAAAATCCCTGCCATCATGAGGCTTATAATACAGTGGGTAGGGATCTGAGATATTATGTTTTGTACCCACTGTTGCTACAGGTCATGATGGAAAGTTCTACAGGCAGGCGTGTTTACATTAAGACAAGCTTAGGTGAGGGTTAGGGGAAACTCAAGTAGAGTGAGAAATCCAAATCACTAAACTGAGAAGGGCTTCCAGAACCCTGTTCTTTCTATCTGGGTTGATGACTCTGTTTAGGGGGCTGGTCTAATGGCATGCATCCCAAAAGTGTCAATTCTCAGTGAGGGTTGGTTTGTCTAGGAGAGTGAGGGTCTTTCTTCCAGTAATAGGATTCAGGCCCAATAAAAGCAAATGACAAGAACTAGATTTGGAAGTAATCAGGAGACCTATTCCTAGCATGACACTAGAAAGATAACATGGAAGGAGGAAGCAGATCAGAACACCTGTCTGATGCCTGGGGTTCAATGCGGAAGCTGCAGGCCCACGGAACACCCAGGTACTCTGGAGCTCCTGCTCAGGAGCAGGAACCCTTTCAAACCACATGAATGAGTGTCGAAGTGATACGGGCATAAATTTGAACCTCAGCTCTACCTCTTACTACCTTTAAGAACTTGTTTCTTATCAATACCCTTTGCCTCCCTGAGACTTGTTCACCTCATCTGTAAAGTGAAAGTAATAATACTTATCTCACAGTTTGTGAGAATTGAAAGAAATGTCTTGCCAGACAAAAGAGTCTTACTAGACTGTCAGGTGGCAGTCAGCACTTGCAATCAGGATCCAGAGTACATGCTGAGTCCAATGCCTCTTGCAGGTGAAGGTCATATTCCAGGGAGTACTAACATGGGAATGAGCAGTAATGATGCCAAATTTAAAGATTCTCTCCTGTTTAAAAGTATTGCTGTTGGTCCTGCTTCTTTCCTTCTTAAAGAGCGCAGTCTTTGGAGAGATAGATGTTGGTCCAGCTCCACCATTTACTAGCTGTGGGACCCTGAGCAAGTAACTGAAATTCTGCTGGCCTTGATTCTCTCACACATTTGGTAATTACATAAGATTTTTGCATCTATGTTCCTAAGTAAAATGGTTTACAGTTTACTGTGTCCTTGAACAATTTTGGCATCAATAATAAACTAGCTTCACAAAACAAGTTGAGAAGCTTTCCTTTTTGTCACTTCTCTGGGATGGTTTGCATAAAGTAAGTGTTGCTATAACGTAAAAGACTGGCAAAGCTGCCTCTGAAACCATCTTGTAATTTTTTTTGAGGGTGGTTGTTTGACTACTGAATCAATTTATTTAATATAATAATTCTATTCAGGTTCCTTAAACATTTGTTCTTGAGTCAATTTTGATAATTTATATTTTTTCCAGAGATTTGTTCTTTTTTTCTAAATTTTCAAATTTAATACCATTAAATTATTCATACAATTATATTATGATTTATAAAAGCTTGTGCTGTTTTCATCTTATTATCATTTACTTGCATGTTTTTTCTCATTTGTTAAATCAGTATTGCAAGAGGTTTCTCTGGCATTTGTTTTGTTGACTCTATAGTGTTTCTTTGTTTTCTATTTCATTTATTTCTGTTCTTGTCTTGTTCAGATACATCCTCTTCTCTCTTTGTGCATTTCCTGAAGCTACTTTTCTAACTTATTGAGTTGAACATATAGTTGATTAATTTTGATTGTTGTTATTAACTATTGCATCGATACAAAAATATTTACAACATGAGTGAAGGCAATAAATAACAATAATACAAACAGCTATGTATCCATGACTTAATCTTAGAAAGAAAATATTTCCATTCCTTGTGTATTCTTTCCTTGTTTTCTTTCCCCTTTCAAACTTCAAAGATTTTATGTCTATTTCCTTGCTTTTATTTGTTTTTACCATACTTGTATACTATAACTTAATTTCCCTTTTGTCTTTTCTAACATATACATTTAAAGCTATTCATTTTCCTCTCTGTACACTTTAGCTGTATCATACACATTTTGATATATAATGCTTTCATTGTTTTTGAGATATAATCATTTCATAAATGATCCAATGATTAATATATTGACTCATCAATTATTTAGAAAATATTTTATTTAATCTTCCAAAGATAAGTCTTACGGGCTTTATTTTTGTTACTGCATTGTGTTCAGGGCCTGGACTGTATATTCAGTCTAGCATTCAATTGAGCATTGTTTTATGGCTTAGTACATAATCAATTTTGCAGATATCCCATATGAGCTTTTTCTTTTGGGTACTCAAGTTTCAGGACTTCTATATTCCTGACAAATTGTTTCTTTCAACTTTTGCTAATAATATTATTGATCTCTTAAATGCTTTTTCCTTAACATATATTCTATGCG